CTGTGAACTCTAAGCAATCCTCTTGGTTCCTTTGGTCGCTCTTTTGGTCCAAGCGAGAGGTTTTCAAGCTTAGTGATTAGCTTTTTATTTGCCTTGGACTGTGAATTAATCCCATTGAACTGCACAGTGTAGGTGTTTTCTTCTAATGCCTCTGATGGGACGGATTCTGAATCCACGACACACGTGGTGGCTCCAGTATCAAGGATAGCGTTGAGGACAACCTTCTTTTGTACACCTGGAATTTCCAGTTCGACAGAAAGATTGTACAACATGTTCTTCTTCTTCTCCTTGACTTCTCCGCTTGCAATTGTTTCCATCATCATGAGTTGTTCAGAGGCTTCTGCTTCTTCTTCTAGGGCTTCTAGTTCTTCAGCCTTGAATTTGCCTGTTTTTCGCAACTCCTTTTCATCCTTTTCCAGCTGAATTTGAAGTTTCAGCTCTTCTAATTCATAAATACAATTTGTGAAGCTATGTCCAGAAGCAAAGAGGCCCTCAAGATCAACGGATGGAGCTGTTGGGTATGATCTTAGTTCAACTGCCAAGATACTTATACAGCCACAAGATCGTTGTCTTATTCCTACTGGAATAGCATTACAAATTCCATTTGGCATGTATGGAAGAATCGCACCTCGATCCGGACTAGCGTTGGAACACGGAATCCATGTAGGAGCAGGTGTTATTGATCCAGACTATCGAGGCGAAGTCAAAGTTTTACTCTTTAACTTTGATTTCAAATTGTTTGAAGTTCAACCTGGCCAACGAATTGCGCAGATAATTTTTGAAAAGGTCGCACTTCCCAGGATGGAAGAACTTGTAAGGACTACTTGGACCTTGAGATTTAAATATAGTCTATAGCGCTTCCTTTTGGTAAATTGGTAATCTAGATAGCTCAGACTAGTTAATATATTCTTACTCAGACCAGTAGAAATGCTATGACAAACATATGGGAACAAAACATTAAAGAATGGTATGAGAAATCTGAAACTTCACGCCTAAACTACCTTGATCTTGCCTCAATTGGATTCAAGCTTTGCCCAATCTATCAATACCTCCTGAAGGATGTGTCATCATCCTTGAAACGGACGGCTGCATGGAAGGTTGGGGAGGAGTATGCAAATGGAAGAAAGCTCTCAAAGATCCTCATTCAACAGAACGAATTTGTGCTTATGCTAGTGGAAAATTCAGTCCCATTAAATCCACTATAGATGCTGAAATCTATGCATGTATAAATTCATTGGAAGCTTTCAAGATTTATTATCTTGACAAGGGACATTTGACCTTGAGAACTGACTGTCAAGCCATTATCTGCGCAATTCGTTGGCCAGGTTGAACTTCAAACAATTTGAAATCAAAGTTAAAGAGTAAAACTTTGACTTCGCCTCGATAGTCTGGATCAATAACACCTGCTCCTACATGGATTCCGTGTTCCAACGCTAGTCCGGTTCTGATAATACTTTGGCTGACGCCTTATCACGACTTGTGTTTGTTCTTTGTTCTTTCACAGAATGGCCTACAGAGGAGGATCAGGACAGTATGGAGGTTCTAGCAGGTCTCAACCAAATCGACGAACTTATCCTGTTATGCAGAGAGAGGAGCGAATCAGACTGTCGCAATCTACACCTTCAGACCGTTGGATTGATCCAACAGTTCATCCCCAAGTTGCAATGCATCCTGACTCGATCGAGTGGACAGCTTTTTGGACACCATTGGGACTCTATGAATGGCTTGTAATGCCATTTGGCCCCTGCTGTATTTCAACGAAAAATGGACGTCTGCTTCAAAGGAACGGAGGAATTCATCGCTGTTTACATTGATGATATTCTTGTATTTTCACCTAATGAACAGACTCATGAGAAGCATATCCACGTGATGATTGATGTCTGCAAGAAAAATGGGCTAATTCTGAGTCCAACCATTGCCATGATGGAGGAAGAAGAAACGGAATATCCACAGGTGAAGAAATTGGAGCAGCTTATAAAGAAACATAGGAAGGATCCTCAATATGTCCTTTCTTCCACATCTGCTGTTTCAAACTATAATCCTCCACAGGATACGATGATGGGTCCTCCAGGTTATCCTCCAGCAACTGGCCAAGGAACAATCAAATATTTCCTTTTATCAATTCTGACATGGGAAGAATGTGGCTTGCCTTTGTACGTTGTTGCTTTCCGTATGCCATACTTTCTTTCTGGCTCCTTGTAATAACCTGGAATAGGTATCTCCTTACAAAATTCCAGATTTCTGAGGGATTTCTGGAATAAATCCTTGCATTGACACATGTGCCTTGGTGATAGATTCCCATCTCATAAATACTTCATCAAATTTACATTTGCAATGCTTTGATTTTTGCAAATATTTCCTTTTATCAATTCTGACATGGGAAGAATGTGGCTTGCCTTTGTACGTTGTTGCTTTCCGTATGCCATACTTTCTTTCTGGCTCCTTGTAATAACCTGGAATAGGTATCTCCTTACAAAATTCCAAATGATTATTTACATCTTGCTACAAGATCAGGACGTCTGTTCGTAGGAGAAGAATTATCAGAAAAATTATGGTCAAAAATGCCTGGAGATCTTGGTGAAAGAATCAGGAAGGCATATCATGAAAGACATGCAGGAAATGCAATTGGCGTTGCACCCAGAATTCTGTTTTCCTATAAGTATCTGGAGACCGAATGTAAGAATGCTGCTTTCCAGAAATCCCTCAGAAATCTGGAATTTTGTAAGGAGATACCTATTCCAGGTTATTACAAGGAGCCAGAAAGAAAGTATGGCATACGGAAAGCAACAACGTACAAAGGCAAGCCACATTCTTCCCATGTCAGAATTGATAAAAGGAAATATCAGGACGTCTGTTCGTAGGAGAAGAATTATCAGAAAAATTATGGTCAAAAATGCCTGGAGATCTTGGTGAAAGAATCAGGAAGGCATATCATGAAAGACATGCAGGAAATGCAATTGGCGTTGCACCCAGAATTCTGTTTTCCTATAAGTATCTGGAGACCGAATGTAAGAATGCTGCTTTCCAGAAATCCCTCAGAAATCTGGAATTTTGTAAGGAGATACCTATTCCAGGTTATTACAAGGAGCCAGAAAGAAAGTATGGCATACGGAAAGCAACAACGTACAAAGGCAAGCCACATTCTTCCCATGTCAGAATTGATAAAAGGAAATATTTGCAAAAATCAAAGCATTGCAAATGTTATCTTTGCGGTGAAGAAGGCCACTATGCTCGTGACTGTACCAAAGATAAGAAGAATGTCAAGAGTAATTACAAGCGGCTCAATGATAATACGCATAAGGATCAATATAGCTTGCCCGGAATCAATACAATTATGGCAAAAATTGGCCATAGCAAAATCTACTCTAAGTTTGACTTGAAGAGTGGATTTCACCAAGTTGCAATGCATCCTGACTCGATCGAGTGGACAGCTTTTTGGACACCATTGGGACTCTATGAATGGCTTGTAATGCCATTTGGTCTAAAGAATGCCCCTGCTGTATTTCAACGAAAAATGGACGTCTGCTTCAAAGGAACGGAGGAATTCATCGCTGTTTACATTGATGATATTCTTGTATTTTCAGAAAAATTATGGTAAAAAATGCCTGGAGATCTTGGTGAAAGAATCAGGAAGGCATATCATGAAAGACATGCAGGAAATGTCAATGCAAGGATTTACAGATGTAAGGGATAAGCTCCAGTACATCGAAAATATGCTTGGCAATATGTCCTTTCTTCCACATCTGCTGTTTCAAACTATAATCCTCCACAGGATACGATGATGGGTCCTCCAGGTTATCCACGATTCCTATAGTTTGGGTCTTGTGTCACTTTGGTCTTTGACTTTTTAATTGTGACACATTTGACCCTGAATTTTGAATTTTATTCCAAATAAGGACAATTGAAGATATCATTGCTCAATTTCAAGGGCAAAGTCATTAATTTGATAAAATATAAACTAATTTGATAAAATAAATATCAAAAAAATATATTTGAATTTTTAAAAATAATTTCTATCCACTAAAGATAAAATTATGTAAAATTGATAAATTTTTTAGACATTTATTTTTATTTTTTATCAAATTAAATTTTATTATGTGTTTGGATGATAATCATCTAATGGGTGGTTATTTTTATTTTCATTAAATTAGTTTCTATTTTTTCAAAATTCACATATGACAACAACTTTGATATCATTATTAAACCAATCCATTAAATCAAAAATTTCAAAACTAAAAGCATTTCATGTATTAAATATATTGATTACACATTAAAAGCCTAACAATCACCCATTATATGATCATCATCCAAGCACATAATAAAAATTAATTTGATAAAAATTAAATACATAAATGTCTAAAAGATTTATCAATTTTACATAATTTTATCTTTGGTGGGTAGAAATTATTTTTAAAAATTCAAATATATTTTTTTGACATTTATTTTTGTCAAAATAGTTTATGTTTTATCAAATTGACAACTTTGCCCTTGAAATTAAGCAATGGTATCTTCAATTGTCCTTATTTGAAACAAGATTTAAAATTCAAGGTCAAATGTGTCACAATTGAAAAGTCAGGGACCAAAGTAACACGAGTCCCAAACTATAGGGACCATTAATATAATTCACCCTTTTTTATAATAAGTATGTATTTAGACAATGGAGTTGTGTTATCAAACTTCAAATCTTTTTGTGTATTCAACATCAAATCTAGTTGTATTATCTTTTTGCTATATTGCTATTTTTTTTAATAATGCAGAGGTTTGAATAATTCTTGTTACTAGTAATGCCGGATTATATCTTAATTGCGATAAGTCAGAAATGGTACGGCAGAATGCATTGGTTGATTAGGCCACTTTTTTGAAGTAATATTCTTGAATTAGCATAGCATTACATTTCAGTTCTAGATATTATATTTGCCAACCATTTACTAATATGTTCTTATAACTCCTAGTGATATGCATATGATGGACTGCTTTGTTGGTGTTTTTCAATTTTACAGGATGGCATAAATTTACAAGATTTTGTTGTAAAAGTATCTTCTCTGGAGAATGTCCTTGCCCTTATTATGTCTCATGTTGGTCAGAAGTCATGTGCTTGTCCTGATATTGACCCACGATGCAGTTTCTTGTCTCAAATTCTTACAATTCCTTCCTTGTGGAAGCTTTTTCCATACCTAAAAGAGGTACTTTGGTTTACAAAGCCCACGATTACAACATTATGCTTTTAGATTTTAGATTTCATCAGCATTTAAAGTATACTTGATAAAGGGGCAGAATCTTTGCCAAAGCCGAGTAGAAACTTTAAATATGATCACCTTTTCCTCTTGATTTTGTTGCCAACATTTTTTTTCCCCTTTCTTTATCAAAATGTGCCTTATTGTAGAAACTTTAAATGTTCTTTCATCTATTTATCTAGGTTTTTGCAAAGCGGGAGCTGAGTGATCATTATATTCCTCAGATGGCACTGTGTGTGCAAAATCATGCTAATGTTCTACCCAATGATATATCAACCGAATGCCCTGGTTATGCTTGCCTTCTTGGAAATTTGCTTGAAACAGCTGGGCTCGCTTTTTCTCAATCTGATTGCTCATTTGATATGGTAAGGAAGCCATGTTATTTTTAATGAAATGCTATTTATTTGCTTGCTCCTTACGTACACTCATTGGGTATGTATTAATAATGAGTAAGATGAAAAGGTTTGTGTGGTGAAGAAGTTTATGTTTTTCTCCTGATTTTCTAAGGCAACAGTTGTTTGTAACATACGTTCATGCTACATATAGCCAAATTATACTTTTGAGTCTTTTAGGTTTATAGTTAAATTTGTAGGGTAGTATTTTAATTTTTATAGAAGTGTAATTTGGTGGGAATTTCATATTATTAAAAAATACACTTTGGTTGAATTTTTATTTTGTTGTCTTCGTGGTAGAGCAAGATTCTTGTTTCGGAAATTATTTTAGGTGCAAGTTTATAATCTATTTTGTGTTCTACCTTATATAGGTATTAGAGTTGATTGGTTTGTTTAGGTTGGAATTACAGCTTATATGAAGGCTCATACTAGATTTAGAGGAGATAAACAAACTTTAGTCTAGTAATGTTAAAGAGCTTTTTAATACAGTGTTTCTTGTTTGCCTTTCTTGAACTCTCTTTCCATTCTTTATTTTTCTTATCTTTTCTTTTTATTAACTTTAGGAATCCTAGCACGGGTTACATCACTTCCATCTTTTCCCTATTAAAGAGAGTGGATTTGAGATCCATAATTTTTGAAGAAAATACATCTCATTCTTGGATTTGATTAAGTAGAATTATAAAATATCTATGTTTGGGTGAGTTGTGTAAGATTCCTGAAAGCTTTTCTGTATCTTATATATTCAATGTGTGAATGATTACAATCAGACCTTAGATTATATAGCCCTAAATTCTAAACCAAAAGGGAAAATACAATTATGCCTCTAATAGGACTCTAACACAACCATACCTCTAATAGGACTCTAATTTGTACAACCACAATCATGCCTAATTTGGAAAATAATAGAAAATACACAATATATTCTCACACCCCCGCTCAAACTCAAGGTGTTTTAGCAGAAAACACTGAGAGTTTGCTAAGAAGAAACTGAAACCGAGCGGTAGTGTGAGTCTTGGTGAAGAAGTCCGCAAGTTGCAAAGCCGAAGGGATGAAAGGAAGCGAGATAGAGGCAGACTGCAGATGTTGGCGAGAGCAAAGTGACAATCAATCTCAATATGTTTCGTCCGCTCATGAAAGACAGTATTGTGAGCAATCTGAACAGCATTGCGATTGTCATAATAGAGAGAGGTTGGAGAAGACTGAGGGACACCTAAATCAGACAAGAGACAACGAAGCCAAACAATCTCAGCAGTGGCATGAGCCATAGCACGATACTCAGCTTTGGCAGTAGAGCGAGCAACGACTGATTGTTTCTTGGTTTTCCAAGAGATTAAGGAATCTCCAAGAAACATACAGAAACCAGACGTAGACTTACGATCAGTAAAATCACCAGCTCAATCAGAGTCAGCATAAGCCACAAAGTCCAAAGAGGAAGTAGAGGACAACAATAAGCCCTGAAAGATAATACCTCTGAGATAGCGAAGAACGCAAACCAAAGTAGCCCAATGGGTAGATCGAGGAGCAGAAAAAAACTGACTAACCACATGTCCAGCATAAACAAGGTCAAGACGAGTGACAGTCAGATAAACTAAACAACCAACAAGCTCGCGATATAAAGTGGGATCATCCAGAGGGACACCATCAGTAGAGTTAAGCTTCATTAAGCTCAATAGGTGCATCAGAAACCTTAGTATCAGTAAGACCAGCACGATGAATGACTTCATTAGCATACTTAGCCTGAGACAGAAAATAGCCCTTGGGAGAAGAAGCAACCTCAATACCAAGAAAATACCGTAATGGACCCAAATCCTTCATTTCAAAGGTGCAGAAGAGATGCTGCTTGACCTCAGAGATAGCAGAAGAGTTCGAGCCAGTGATGATCATATCATCCATATAGAGCAAGAGAGCAACAAAACCAACCGAGGTATGTCGCAGAAATAAAGCAGAGTCAGAAGCAGAAGGATGAAACCCGAGCTCGGTAACAGCAATCTGAAATCGATCATACCAAGCACGAGGAGACTGTTTCAGACCATATAGAGCACGTCGAAGACGACAAACCTGTCCAGAGGGATGGTGAAGGCCAGGGAGAGGACACATGTAAACTTCCTCAGTGAGATGGCCATTAAGAAAAGCATTCTTAACATCCATCTAATAAAGAGGCCAAGAACGAACAGCAGCGACAGAGATCAAAGTACGGACAGTAGTCATTTTGGCAATAGGAGCAAATATCTCCTCATAATCAATACCATACTCCTGAGAGAAACCTTTGGCAACCAGACGAGCTTTGTAACGCTCAAGAGAGCCATTAGAATGAGTCTTGACTTTGTAAACCCATTTGTAACCAACCAGGTTCTTACCAGCAGGTAAAGGAACCAACTCCCAAGTACTAGTTTTCTGTAAAGCAGACAACTCATCCTCCATAGCTTGAACCCAATGAGGATCTTGACAGGCCTCCTTGTAAGACTGAGGTTCTACAACAGAGTGAATAGCAGACAAAAAAGTACTATAGGAAGCAGAAAAACAATTATTAGGCCAACTCAACCTGTTTGGAGGATGACGTGCTCGAGGAGGATATCGGTGTGCAGTAGGATCAGAGTCGTCAGAAGCAGGAGGATCAGCAGTACGGGTGGAGACAACTGGTAGAGGAGGAGCCTTACGACGAGAATAAACTAACAATGGAGGAGGAGAAGAAACTGAAGAAGGAGAAACAGCCAGAGGTGAAGCAGGAGGAGAAGATGAAACAAGCTCAAGAGGAACTGTGGAGATGTACTCATCAAACGGTACCTCAGAAGGAAATGGGTCAATGTGAACCAAATTCTCTTTGGAAACTGGAGCAGTGACAGGAGGAAGCTGAAAGTAAGGTAGACTTTCGAGAAAAGAAACATGACGAGAGACATAAAGACGACGAGAAACAGGGTCGTAACACTGATAACGTTTCTGAGTAGGACTATAACCCAAAAAGACACAGAGGACAGATCGGGCACTAAGTTTGGTCCTATCTTTGTGGGAAAGAAGAACAAAACAAGCAGACCCAAACACACGAAGGAGGGAATAGTTAGGAATTTGGGAGAACAAAGCCTCATAAGGAGACCGACCAGAAAGAAGGGGAGTAGGCATGCGGTTGAGAAAAAAAGCAGCAGTAAGAACTACTTCCCCCCAGAATGGAGCCGGAACTGAGGCAGAGAGAAGAAGAGACCTAGCGATCTCAAGAAGATGACGGTGTTTACGCTCGGCTCGACCATTTTGGACAGGTGTATCTGTACAGGAAGTTTGGTGAATGGTACCCAAATTGGCCAAATACTCACAGAACTCATTTTTAAAATATTCCCCACCCAAGTCAGACCGTAACACTTTAATTGTAGACCCAAACTGAGTAATAATCATAGATTGAAAAGTACGGTATATCTGATAGAAATCGAACTTATGAGTCATAAGATAAACCCAAGTGTAACGGGTGCAGTCATCAACAAATGACACATAGTATGCAGAACCCCCTTTGGTGAGAATAGGAGAAGGGCCCCAAACATCAGTATGAACTAAAGAAAACGGTGTATCAGATATAGAAATACTTTTATGAAAATGTAAGGTTGTCATTTTGGCAAGTTTACACCCCTGACATTCAGTAAGTTCACTAGGAGAAACTTTACCCAAAATACCTGATTGAGCTAAAGACCGTAAGCGGTCAGCAGACAAATGCCCTAATCGAGAATGCCATAAGTAGAAAGGACTAGACAGAGAATCTAACTGAAAAGAGGAAAAGGCAGTCAAAGAGGTTGCTATAGGCAGATGCAAGCTATCCACCACATAGAGGTCTCCAATTCTACGGCCGGTCCCAATCTGCTACTTAGACATTCGATCCTGTACAGAACAGATAGCAGAAGAAAAGATAACATCAAAACCAGCGGCATTAAGTTGACTGATAATAAACTGACAGATAATAAACTGACAGATAACTGAGGAACATAAAGGACAGATGGAATAGAGACAACAGACATAGCAGACGGTAGGACAGACCCAACGGATACAACAGACATACCAGATCCATTAGCCGCATTTACAGTAATAGGAAAGGGAGAAGGAGTACAATTGTGAAGTAAGGAGAGATGGGGAGTCATATGATGAGAGGCAATAGAGTAAAAAAGCCAGACAGACGAAGAGATACCTGAAGAAGACCCAAGCAAACCTGAATGAAGAGATGAAACAATGGAAGCAGATGGAGATGGCTGGGAGGTAGACAATATATGCTGAAGTTGACTAATCTGAGCAGTCAAGGAAGCCAAGTCAAGATCAGGAGTCGGAGCAGATGCAATATATGCAGTGGGAGGAGCCCAGAAGTGGTTCTGAGATTGCTGAAAAAATGGGACAGGCTGACGTCCCTTCTTAGGATAGTGGTACTTCCAATGGCGCTTCTGATGACAGAAGGCACACTCATCAAAAGTCAGAGACATCGTAATAACTAGAAAATTGAGGAGTTGAAGTGTAATAAACACCATATTCAACAAAATAGCCAAAACAGGGGTCGAAGGGTAATACACAGAAATCTGATGGGGGTAAGGCCAATAAATCCAAAACCATAGTGTAATAATCAGAAGAGTGTTAGGTGTGAATGTAAAATATAAAAACTAACTTCTTTTTTTTTTTTTTTTTTTTTACCCCGACCCACAAATATTAACTAGAGTATTGAAGTTGAAAGAACCAATCTGAAGCCGAGAGAACCAAATCAGAGAAGAGAGAGAGAGAGAGATTGAAGCCGAAGTCAAGGAAGAGGGAGATTACGACGTGGTTGGTGGTGCCCGCTAGGGTTTTGTAGCGTCAATGGCTCCGACGCGTAAACGTGGAGTGAGAGGAGCGAAGGGGAAGAGTGAGTTGCGTCTCGGTGATCTGGTTCTCGCCATGGTCAAGGGAACTTCGATCGATCAAAGGAGAAGATTTGAGAACCAGATTTGATCAAGGGAGAAGATGACCCACAACTCACACAGAGACTGAAGAGGAAGACAATTTCTAGGGTTCTGGTGGTGGCTTTGATACCATGTAAGATTCCTGAAAGCTTTTCTATATCTTGTATATTCAATGTGTGAATGATTACAATCAGACCTTAGATTATATAGCCCTAAATCCTAAACCAAAAGGGAGAATACAATTATGCCTCTAATAGGACTCTTAACACAACCATACCTCTAATAGGACTCTAATTTGTACAACCACAATCATGCCTAATTTGGAAAATAATAGAAAATACACAATATATTCTCACAAGTTGATGGCTCTAGTGACAAGTCATGATTTGGGGGAGGCTAAGGGAATGCCTGAACCAAAATATATTATTGGTATGGATGAAGAATAGGTGGTCAGCTTTTGCTTATCATGATGGTGATGGTTTTAGGGTTGAGGATATTAGTGGCTCTATTATCTTGAATGGTTATATAGGGTGAAGTTGGGATGCATTTGGAGAACATGGGGCAATTTTCAGCCTGTATTTTTTTTTTGATCAGCAAAGAAATCTTTATTGATGCAGAAAACATACATTACATATGAGATACCATCAATAAAGATGAATAGGAAAAAAGAAAAAAGGGAACAAAGCATAATGTTGGTGAGAAACCAACACTAGCTTAAGCCAACACTTGTTGCCACCCAAAGACCAGCTCTACAAAAGCTTATAACCTACAGATTCAGACTTTAAATCCTCCACACTTACCACACTAACCTACAATCTTGCTTCCAACTCTTGATACTTTAAGCCAAAAAATCATTTCTACCTTTCTTCACAGGCCTACCCCTCTTTGCTGATTCTCTCTTTATCCTGCAGCTCTAGCTCAAAAATCTTGTTCAGAACAACATCTTCTTTCCCATTGAAATTGATTCCAAGAGATTTAGTTTTAAGCCTGTATAGGTGGCGGAGATGGAGGTAGTCAGAGTCATGCCCTCAATTGCAGTGATCTATCTAGATGGTGGGATTCAATTGGTCCTTGCAAGACCTGGACAAGAGGTCCCACAAAGAGGAAAATAAATGAAAACAAAATTACAAATCACATATAGCTCTCCAATCTCTTGAAATAAAAAATAGAGGAATTCTCTTAAAGTGGGATGTCATTGAAGCCAAAAGAAGGACAAATAATAAATCTCATCCCATAATCCTCTTTCATCTTCAAACTTTTCTTAAATAATTCTACTTTTTTCTAACCAAATAACCCAAAGCACTGCACAAACGAACTGGTTTTTCTTATTAGAGTTGAAACTTCTATAATCAATGATGAGCAACTGAACACATGAAACTGGAATTACTCATTCAATTTCTGCCAGTTGAAACAATCCATCTCATAATGCCATAGCCACCACAGGGACAATATGGAATATTCTGATTGGGTAAGAAAAAAATTGAGAAATTTCAACTCTTTTTTGGGGATGTCATGTAAAGGATTTGAAGCAGAAATCCTTTATTTAATGCACACTAAGAAACATGGACACAAAACAAACACGCTGACACAACAAATTTCAAGAAATGCAAGACAAGACACAACACATGGGTGATACACACAAAATATGTAGTTTTATATTTATTATATGTTATAGACATGAATATATCATTCAAAGATAATTAAAAAAATGCAACATAACACTAATTGTATCCTAAGTTGTTGCGTTCAAATTTATAATTAGTTTCATGTGTCTAAGCATAGACACGTGTGTCCCCTAAGTGTTCGAAGAGTTTCAAATTGTTAAAAAGTTTAAAAAATAATAGGACACCTTTGGATTGATTGTCTAACATATGTCGAGAAGTGTCTGGCAAGTTTTGGTGCCTGATACTAACACAACACGGACACTCCACTTTTTTAGAAGTGTTAGTGCTTTTTAGGCTGAAGGTTACTGAGAGAATATGGCTATTGCGAGGTTGTAGGGAAGGGAGGGGAAGAGCTGATTCTTTTTTGTCAAAAAGGGAGACGGAGATTAAAAAGTGTTGTTCTCCCTTGCTTATGAGGGCCAAAGGCAAGGCAAGGCAAAACAATCAATAACGAGGGGGGAGGGCGTTGTTGCTAAAATCATTATGAAATTGAGGAAAGTCGTAAAGTCAATGATGCAAGCTTTGAGGGGGATGTGGTGTGTTTGCAAGAAACCAAAATTAATAGTATAAATAATAGTGTGAAAAATTTATGTATTATTGATTGATATTGTTGATACATATTCTGTCTATTACAAATGGTTCCTTATATAGATGTAGGTGTAGTGGATGGTGTGTAGTGGATGGTGATAGTGGTGTAGTGGGTTAGGTTTAGTGGAGTAGGTGAAGTGGTAGTGGTGTAGTGGGTTAGGTTTAGTGGAGTAGGTGAGGTGGTAGTGGTGGTAGGTGATGGTAAATTCTAACATAGTGATATTGTTAGAAGCTTGTGGAGCTCCCGTTTTGTTAGTTGGGAGGATGTGGCAGCTAGAGGAATAGGAGAGATGTATTTTATGGGCATTTTTTTGAGTCTTGCCTTTTTGTTTGTGGATGATAGTTTTTCTTGAATTTTGACAGGGCTGTACCATAGGAAGTGGTTGTGGGGGGAATTGTTGATAGCTAAAAGGAGATGGACTATGCTGGGTGTGTTAGAGGGGATTTTAATGTTATTCCAATTCTAGTTGAAAGGCATGATTGTAATCATATATCATCTTCCATGAGGGAATTTTTCGGGTTTTATAGAAGCTAATGAGTTGATGGGCTACCTTTAATTGGATTGAGGTATGTGTGGTGTAACAACAGCAGTGATATCTTTTGACTGGGAAGAGAAGTTTCCTAATGTGTCCCAGGTTGCTACCGAAGTCTTGTTTCAGATCATAGTTGATAGATTCTCTTGTCATGAATGTAATAATCTCCTCATGTATAATCTACTTAAAGTAGCTTACCCTGCTGTGCTTTGAGTTTTTAGATGCTACTATCTAATAAAGTTTTATTCTTCCCCTTTCTCTTTTATTGAGCAGGCTATAGACTTTGCAGCTGTTGCAACATTTTTGTTGGAGGCGCTTCCTCCGATGCAATCATCAAAGAAAGAAAGTAAAGAAAGTATGTCTTGGACAGAATATACTCGAGTTTTTCCCTTTTTCTCCCCGTTTGGTGCATTTTTTAGGGGATTTCTTTGTGTATTATAGAACCTTACTAAACTATGCAGTTTTTCCTAATTGTTCATTGAATTGTATATTTATGTGACTAAATTCCAAAGTGGACGAGGATGAAATGATTGTTGGATATGAAGTAATGGAGAGGGGTCTGAACAGGGATTTGGAAAAACAGATTTCGAATGCAATAGATCCACGGTTTCTTCTACAATTGGTGCGTAATCCTGACATATCACAATTAGTAGTTGCTGAAGTGACTATTTTTTATTGTCAACGTATTTCATGCCTCTTAACCATGGAGTGACATGTATGTATTTTATGCCTCTTGAGTAGACAAATGTTCTGTTCGGAGAGATTTCACTTGTCAATGGTTCATATAAAGAAGGGCCTCACAGTAAAGAGGTATTAGCTGTTGGTGCTGCTTGTGCTTTCTTGCACGTGACTTTCAACATTTTACCCCTTGAGCATGTTATGACTGTACTAGCATATAGAACAGAGCTTGTTCCTGTACTATGGAACTTCATGAAGCGATGCCATGACAATCAGAAGTGGTCATCCTTGTCTGGACAACTAGCATACCTGCTGGGAGATGCACCTGGCTGGCTATTGCCTTTGTCAGTTTTCTGCCCTGTGTATAAGTAAGAATGCTACTTGTTCTATGTTCAGTTTTGTTTGTAATTTTCAAAAGTTGTCTGAATTAATTAGATGGATATGTGGTTGTCTGAGGTATTGAAGCTATGATAAAAGTTGAGGGGACTAATGTGACCCCCTAATTTGATGGATCAGGCACATGCTTATGATAGTTGATAATGAGGAGTTCTATGAGCAGGAGAAGCCATTGTCATTAAAAGATATCAAATGTTTGATTGTTATCTTAAGACAGGTAATTTTATGTGGTTGTAGAATCTTCAAATCAGCTTACGCAGAAAAATTACACTTGGCGGTATTTCATGTTCCTGCAATAGAAGTTTTCACATGAGTGTATATCATGCCAGGGTGGAGAAGTAATATGGATATCCTGTAGGCAAATTGTAGACTATTTGTACTTTTAACGGTGTAAGATGGAATTGCAATTGGCATAATTTTTAATATTTGTAATTGGTCATTTCTGTAGGCTTTATGGCAACTCCTATGGGTGAATCCTGTTGCTCCATCTAACTTAGTTCATTCATCTGCTGAGGTCTTTACTCTTAAGAGGCACCCTTTAGAATTTGTTCAGCATAGGGTTAGCATTGTAGCTTCCGAGCTCCTGTCACAGGTATATATGATCTCATCTTGTTAATTGTCGGTTTTCTTTTCAGAGACAGTCAGCATTGATTAGTTAACAAAATTGAAATCTTTTGGACGCAATTGGCTTTATTCAAGCACTTGGGAGGTAATGAACTTAATTATTGTTCTCCTAATTTGTTGTGTAAAACTATTTTTGCAGTTGCAAGATTGGAATAACAGACGGCAGTTTACAACTCCTAGTGATTTCCACGCTGATGGTGTCAATGAGCACTTTATTTCTCAGGTAAATAGTTCATCAATAGTGTCTTCAGATCTTTTGAACTGAAGTGCTTTAGCACCGGCTGTTCCAATATCATATTGACTTTCTGCAGGCTATGATAGAAAATACTAGAGCTTGTGAAATACTGAAACATGCTCCATTCTTGGTGCCATCTACAAGCAGAGTTAAAATATTTACTGTGAGTTGCTAACTCGTTTCAAGCTTGTTTTTAATATTAATTCCTGCTTGTCTTAAATATTTTTAAATAGGGATAATTACATGGACACCCCCTCAACTTAGTATGGAAATCACATAACACCTCTAAGCGTAGTATTCACAACTGGTCTCCCCTTCAAGTTAATCAGTTTACCACTGTTAACAGAAAATACAAAATTACAACTTTATCCTCACTTGAATCAAAATATATAAGCATAGTGTTTCATTTCTTCTTTCCTTCATTCTCTGTCTCTTGTTCTCTCCTCCTACTGGAGGACAATGGCACCACCATATCACCTCCACTCCATCAGTCCATTGCACCTCGTTCTCATGATACCTTGCTTTGTGATATGGTCGATTTGGCATAATTACATGAGTGTAGATCACATATGGGTGTATATATGTATACTGAGATACACCTATGTATATATATATATAGAGAGAGAGATGCAAGGAGTGGTGGCACTGGTAGTGACAAACAGGGAAGGAGGTGTGCTTAAGTGGATGAAAGTTTAAATTTAATACAGTAAGGATACATTGTTATGAACTAAAGAAAGATTGCAGAGAGACAAAGGATATACTGTTCCTAGAAAAAAAGGATAGAAGAAATATTGGTCCAAGACTTTTGAATGGGCGCATAATTGTCATTATCTAACTTATATAACTGCATGTGATGGTCATGTGACTATTTTTTTGGTTAATTTTACTAGCGGCATACTTTTGGGGGTACCGCTGGATAAAATAGTTTTTGGTTGAGTTAAAAATGGGTCATAGTTGAGGGGGTGTTCATATAATTAAATAGATAAGATAGGTTCTTGTTGTCATCAATAATGATGTTCAAATATTTGTTCTATCCACTTTTGTTTATGGAAGGCCTTTCAAAGTTACCATTCGATTTCTTTTTGACTCATTTGTTTATTTTGTTCTCTATTATTTTGAAAATCATCTACCAGTCGCAGTTGGCAGAAGCAAGGCAAAGACATGGGTCTCATGCTGTTTTTACGAGAAACCTATTCAGAATACGACGGGATCATATTATGGAAGATGCTTTTAGCCAGCTGAGTGCATTATCTGAAGAGGATCTTCGAGGACCGGTAGTGTCTCAACTCGTTTGTTTGTATTGAGATTTCTTATTTGCAACTGTGAAAGATCTGCCCTGTCCTCAGATAAAACAGACACATACATTAATTTCCTAGAGAAAGATTAGATTTTTGTTTTCTTTATCAACATCTAGTGATTTTCTGATCTATGCATCCAGATTCGTGTCACCTTTGTGAATGAATTTGGAGTTGAGGAGGCTGGTATTGATGGTGGGGGAATTTTCAAAGATTTCATGGAGAACATTACTCGGACAGCTTTTGACGTGCAGTATGGGTTATTTAAGGTTGTAATTTGTATAGTTGTTACTGAGAATTATGCATATCTGAATAGTTCTAAAACTTGTGATGCCTATCTGAAGATATCATGACCATGTACTTCGATTATATGTCTACCAGCTTTCAGTGCTGTATTATTTTGTTGTCTTGTATTTTATTTAATAGTCTTCGCCTGATAATCCAGGAAACGGTGGATCACCTACTCTACCCCAATCCTGGATCAGGAATGATACATGAAGACCATCTCCAGTTTTTTCATTTTCTTGGAACTGTTCTCGCGAAGGTGGAGTTTTGTGCCTTCTATCTGTCATATACTCAGCGTGTAATTTCATAAAAATTGACGAACTGCATACACATTCACTGCATTATGCATGAAGCAAGCAGATAACATGATTGACAATAATTTCATGGTGGCAGCTGAAGGTGACCATGTCCTTGCTATCATTATAAAATTTTGGAAAAAAGTTTTTACAGGATATCATGTTCCTTTAGGCCAGTCATAATTCTTATAGCATACTACATGAACATCCCTTTATAGCTTCTTGCTTGTATTTTGCCCAAAAAAGTATGATGTTGAAGGATAAATAAATGAAAAGTCATTATTAAAAAAAAAAATCTTTTTTTGACCCTATGTAGGCAGAACGACACCGCAGAATTTTTTGACCTAGCACCAAATGATTGGGTTAACGTTATGAGGAACTGAGTTGAGTTCTAGGATACTCATGTTTAGTACCATTGTGTAGTTCTCAATAAGTGATCTACTTGGAATGGATTGCAAAAATCAATTCCCACCCCCAGTTTAAATGCGGTGTATGTATCTGCATCCACTCAATTATCAATTTTCTTTTATTAATATCGGCTTCAATGATTTACTGCTCCAGATGCAGCTTTTAATTTAGCCATGGATAACTTTTGTCCTTTCTGTACTAGTTCTTATTTAGTACTCCAACCATCATTACATGTAAAGATCTTTTATGGATCAGCACAAAATTTTCTCCCAGTAATTATCAATACATTCTGATTCAACCATTTTTTAGTTTATTGTTTTACTCATCGTATTATTTTATGTTTTCCTACTGATCACTTTACAGATTTAGTTGTCCTTTTTCCCCTATCTTACTATTTCCTTACTAGCTTTGTTCCTCATGTTTCTTCTTCTTTTTTGTTTTGTTTTGTTTTTTTGTTTTTTTTTTCCGCTTTGAATTTTTGTTCAATTAGTTTACTTAGCAATTCTATTGTTAAAATGGTAGTTGAATTGTTTTCTGTGCTATCTATTTTTTTGCCTCTCATGATGCTTTATAGTGGGACATTACCTCTCTTTCAAAATACTGCAGGCGATGTTTGAAGGGATTCTTGTTGATATACCATTTGCGACATTCTTCTTGAGCAAATTAAAGCAAAAGTAAGGTTTCAGATAGCTTCTTGGGCTCACAATTTTTTTATTTTTTCCTTCTTTATTAGTCATTGATCCCATAAAAAATTTCTATGTTTCTATTTGAGAGTATTTTGTTTCATCTATGTGTGTCACATTTGCATATTATCTATATTGGTCATTATTTGAAGTTAAGATACTTGTAAGTGAAATTATGGAAAGTTTGAACTAAGTGATTAATGATTATATTATTAGGATATGAGAATACAAAATCAGAATTTAAAGTTGCAGTCGGCTCCTAATCTCTGCTTCCCTCATCAGTCTTATTTTTTTTCTTTTTAAATTTACTCCTGATTTCTACTTTTACTTATGGGGCTTGAACTGTTTAGTCCTTATTGCATTACTATGATAGTTCATTGGCCTCAAAGATTATCAAATCCTTCATTAGTATTTTAGGTCTTCTACATTGTCAAATGATTTTCTTCATGGTCTAGGCTGCTTGATTGAAGATCAACTTTGTATCACTTCTCTTTTTCTCTTTCTCTGCTCACTCCCTTTCCCCTCCTCAAAATGTGGTAAAAATCCACATATTTGTTTTGTGTATATATCTATATGCATTATGTAAGTAGATTTTGAATTTCGAGACCATCTCCAGATGTGTTTGATGAATCTTTGGGGTGCCAAATTGGCTCGTAGTAGCTGTCGTATTGCCTAATTTGAGTCTTAGTTCTGAAGCCAATTGGTTCTTAGTGTGATTTGTATTGTGGGCATCTGGATTGGTGATAGTTCCATTTTGATTTAATTTCTTACTAAATATGGCATTTCTTTGCTTAATTTATTTGTATCAGAGTAATATGCATTCTCTAGTATATCTTATTTTGATGCATCCATAATTCTTTGAGCAGGTACAACTATTTGAATGACTTACCTTCCTTGGATCCAGAGTTATATCGCCACCTTATTTTCTTAAAGGTGATATTTCTCCCCCTTCCTTGTTGGCCTTTTGTGCAATAGGTCATAGTGAATCCTTATGCTTCAACAGGTTCACAAAATTGATGAAGCCAAAAAATTAATTGTTACTGCTATTTTGACCAGAAGTTATGGAATTTGAATATATATGCATATGTTATCTTCTTGTCAACCAAACCAGTTTTAGGACATCCTTGAATGTCCATGAAAATGGAAAAGTTCCATTTTGTTTTTTTCCATTGCATTTAAAGGCAGGAAACCCTCCTGTTGAATAATCACCAAAGAAAAGGGAGCTAGCTACTTGCACAAATTTACAAAATTTGTATGATGTCATTTTTTGAGGTCTAATATGATAAATCTGTACATACAATCAATTGAATTGCTAACAAAAATTAACCTAGACCGGTTTAGAATGATTTGCAAGTAATTTCGTGTTGGTCTACCCTTCTCCTTTTGTTGTTTTGTGACTCAATTTCATAGCCATTATTGTGGTTATGTGTAATTTTGTGCTATTTATTTATTAATTTATCTTTTGTTTGATGTACAGCATTATGAAGATGATATTTCAGAGTTGGAATTGTACTTTGTTATTGTGAACAATGAATATGGGGAGCAAAATGTAGAAGAGTTGCTTCCAGGAGGGAAAAACATACGTGTTACTAATGAGAATGTCATTACATTTATTCATCTTATAGCCAACTGTCGATTGAACTTTCAGGTAGCAAGCGTTTTCCTCTTTAATTTGTCAAGTTCCTTCTCAAACTTCATTTTCTTTTATAATTATGATGTCGTAATATGACTTTCAGATACGCCAACAAAGTTCTCATTTCTTGAGGGGATTTCAGCAGCTTATACAGAAAGATTGGATAGACATGTTTAATGAACATGAACTTCAGGTATTGCTACCTGTTATTGGAAGAAATTTAAAATTACAGTATGCATTAGCATAATTGTTTTTCACTCAGCATTTGCTTGGAGGAGCCATGAGATTCATAAGAACATACATAAAGAACAATTGTTTGCCATTATAAGTTATCATCATTAAGAAAGAAATTGAAACATAAGAAACATGAACTTGCACATAAATAAATATTTATTCATTTAAAATTGCATCCAGCCACAATTATATATTATTACCAATCACCTTCTGTGCGTTAATGTAGTTGTTATAATCATATATATTTCATGTGCAGAACTGGTTTGGTGCACTAGAACACAAAATCAAGTTCCTTGAGTGTGACTTTTAATTTAATAATACATTTAGTCATCCTTGCGAGTTGGTAGAGTTTGTTATGCATTCCAATTCTCATCTTTGTTTTTTTTTCTTTGTCCTCTTAGGTACATGACTGCATATGTTCAATTAGTCTCCTTTTTTATTGATCAGTAATTGCTCTAATTTTTTGTGATGAGAACTTCAATTTTGTTCCCTGGGGTCTCAGTTTCCAACATCTTTAGCATTTTTCTAAATTTTTTTATTTTTTATTTTTTTTTCTAGCTTCTGATATCTGGATCAGTTGATGGCTTTGATGTTGAGGATCTTCGAGCCCATACTAATTATGCGGGCGGTTATTATAGTGTAAGTTCTTTTACTTCTACAAGTTAGTGCACTGCTTGTAGGTGGAGATTGCTTTAGAAATTTTCAGTAATTATTCATCAACAGTTATCGTCTTGGTTTCTTTAAGATTCAATTTAGGGTTTTGTTTACAATAGAATCACTTGGCAGTATCAATTACTCTGCAGGGGTGGGTCCTAAGGGCCCCTTGCCTTCAGGAGGTTCCTCGTCATTAAAAAGAATAAAAATCACCTGGCAGTGCCAGTTGTGCCCAAAAACTCCTTGCATTCTTGGGCCAGGGGGCCAGGTGGTACTTTACATGTGCTGTTATTTAAATACTTTCAATGTTTGCTATCTTGATGAGCTTTTTTATGTTCTTTTGTTGATTGGTAAGAAAACTGTCTTCTATACTGCTGGTTCTGTGAGTAAATTTCCAATTGAATAGAATGTAGTTTGCAGTTCAAGGTCTGGATTAAGACCTTAAAATTTTGCTACCACAATAAACTCCTTTCTAGCAAAAGTATGGTGTACAAATCTATTAAATAGAAGGAATGTGAAGTATGAAATGCATTAGATTTTTAATACCTGTTTTCATTATCAAGCCTTTAGTATCACTAAATCTTTGGTATTTTTGCAGTTAATGATAGCTACATATATATATATATTTTTTTACAGGATCATTATGTCATTGATATGTTCTGGGAAGTTCTTAGGAATTTTTCCAAGGAAAATCAGATGAAATTTTTGAAGTGAGTTCTTCATTTATCATTAACTTCTTAAATTCTCTGATGTGTGGGTTACATAATGGTATACATGCTGCAGTTGTTCATATGGCAGTTAAATTTATTCATGTATGTTCTTAGTGTAATTTCCTTAGAAGTAAATCCAAGTTTTACTTTGTTTATACCATTGTTTTTTTGGCGTGGTATCTTCTTTTTGTTCGTCTTTTACAAAGTGATGTCATTTTCCCCTCTTTTGGGTTGATGGATGGAGTTTTGGATTTGGATTTTATTATCTTTCTCTCTTTGTTTCTCTTTGTGAATGATTCAATTTGGGGGAAGGGAAAAAGAAAAAAGGATTAACTGGGAAAAAACCTTTCTGAGTTAGTATATTGAATATTTGTTCCTGTTTCTTGGAAAAAAGCATTGCTAAGTTGGTAAAATGACAGTACTCTGAGCTATCATGACACACCAAAAATGAACGTTTCATAACTACCCATTGTCTATACGTGATACATCTCCTGAGGCTAATGCTAAGGTTGCAGAGTTGAGTTCCCGCCATTTTGTCTAGCCAAGGGGTTGATCCACCTATCTCTAACTAAGTTGCCCCACATGGCTCACCGCGCTATATAAGGAGGCTTCATGCATGCAACAATCATCCATCACATCTTCTAAGGTAAACGGTACCAAAGTTGGTGTAATGGAGGGGCTCAAGAGTGAGGATGATTCGCCATCACTTCACCAAAGGATTTTTATCAACCAACTGTTCACCCACGTTGGGCAGTGTTACAGCTGCAAATTTGTCTTCTTATCACGTGAGGTGATGATGAGATTTGTGAATTATTTGAAGTGGTTTGAGCTGGAATGCATATCTTCAGAAAAGGAATGTGCCGGTAAACCTAAGATAAACTATGTTAATATGTTACAGTGTGTCTCTCTCTCACTTTACTTTTTCCACCACCCACAACACATTATCATCACCATTCCCTAACCCACATGGACTTGTTCCCATCGTTTCATACAACTCATCATTCATCCCACTAGAATATATAGAATATATATATATATATATTTAAAAAAAAAACAGACGAAGACGACTTGCACACCATACTCCTTTTATTCATGTCGGGGCTCACCCCGTTCACCATTTTACATCCAAAAAAAAAAAAAAAAAAAAAACCACACAAGCAACAAGATTTGTTTTCTTTCTGCAGCGGCCACGATCCACCGATCTCACTTTTCGCCCTATTCCGGCGCCGTCCCCTTTTCTTCTTGCCTCCTCTGGGCGGTCCTTGACGGTGTTGCCTCCGTGTTTCCCACTCCACTGGGCACGATCACTCCACCCCTGCTCCTCCACTACAGCATATGGCAGCCCTCCAAATCGGAACATCACGGTGGCCTTCCGCTTCAGCTCCTTATTTTTGCCTTTCGAGCCACTTATCTCTGCTCGCGCATCTTATACATGCGTTGGAGGCAGAGCCAGCTGGGAGTTTAATGGTGCACCTCATTTGTCCTCTCTGCAGCCGGGCGACAAGTTTGTGACCGCGTCATGTCTCCACACAGGACTTCAAGTATACTGATTGAGCTTCAATGTCCGTTTGCACTGCCATTTTTTGCTCCACCGACCGCACCGGAAAGTTCAACGAGCAAACCAGAGGTGTTTGGTTGAGGTTCACTGGCCACCGCACCAGTTACTTCTCTTTGGCTCGTTCAGTTCTGGAAAGAGCAGTGAGCAGACCACGGAAGAGGCATGTTTCGGGTAGGCTGAGCGAAGAAGAGCCATGTTTTTTTGGGTTGCTGAGTGTTTCAGAGAAGGGTTGGTTACAGAATAGTTTACAGAGTCCAACGAAGGAGGTTTTCAGAAGGTTGTAGCAGTTTTCTGCCTCAGCTCCGCATTGATTTATATAAGACATGGACGACGAGGCCGACACGCGCACTGTGATCACGTGGCATACCGCGTGTCTTGGCGCGCCTTTTGATGGCACTTGTCGCACGTCTTTTGATGGTGGCACGCCTTTTTATGGATTGGGCACGCCTTTTGATGGCACGCCTTTTATGAATTGGGCACACCTTTTGAGGGTGCGACTTTTAAGGGTCCGACAGACTCTGTAAACTTGTCCCGACATATGATTCCGGTTAGCTTCTTCAGCCGGTCCGACAGACCCTTCATGTAAACTGTCCGAAGCATTGGATTCCGCGGGTTTAGGCTCCTTTAAGGGTTCGGACAAGACTCTGTAAACTGTCGC